GAAGGAAGGAAGGAAGGAAGGAAGGAAGGAAGGAAGGAAGGAAGGAAGGAATCAGAACTGCAGTAGTGAATATGAAAGGACAGAGTTATGATAATTTAACCCACATGAAAGCAAAGAATGACAGAATATAAAACATGGCTGCAACATTGAAGGCCTCAAGCTTTTTTTTGTCCAGAACCAGTTTGTTGTGTTTAATAACCAGATGCTGCATCTTAATTTACTGAAGCTGTTAATTTTTTAGTATAATTCAGTATATTTACATTTTTGTATCAATCAGCTAATTAATTAAAATTCAAAACCACCGAATGTAACAAGATGGAGTTGTGCAAAAACAGTAGAGGTTATCTGACAACAGTATATGATGCCCTGATATATTGTAATTAAAGTGTGTGATGTATTACCTGTAGCTGTACATAGAAGAACAAAGGTATGTGGAGTGGAGGGATAATTTGAAAGAAAGTATATTCAAATTCAGATTTCTATATTCTGTGGCATGACATATTAGATATACATATGTAATATTGATGATATACAGAAGCAGTAAAATAGTTTGATAAAACAGATTCATACTTCCAGTGTTACCAGTTAGATGAAGGGTTCTGAAGTACTACACAGATTTTAGCAGAGAAACTTAGTGATGTTAATTTTCTAGCCATGTAAGTAGGAAGATCTTTCCCTGTAACTGATTTTGATTATGAAGTGCAAGTTGAGCTTGTCACAAACCATAAACATAATACAGATGGTAACCAAATTCTCTGTTGTGCTATTCTGTCACATGAGAAACTACTTAAAGAATACAACATTAAATTTGGAGTGCTATACAATATTTTTTAAAAACTCAACAAAACTAAACTTGAAAACTCACACTGTCAGTGTGAAGCAATAGAGAACCTCCTGATCGTGCTAAATTGTGAAACGTATGGTAACTTGAAAGCATTTTCCAAATATATTTTGGTAGACTAAAGGATATTTTGGAATATATATGTGCAAACAAGATGGTCATACCTTTTTCAAATGTTTTTATTGTTTTAGGCATACTTCTTGCACTCCTTGTAATCACTGCTAGTGCAGAACCTGATTCCTACAAACTAAAGTTAATAAAAAACAGAAGAATGTACAGATTCTTCAGAAGAAGCACTTTGAAATACACAGGAACATTTCTGTAGGATAGCTTTTGAAATTGTTAAAGCCAATACTTTTTTCAGGCTTTATGGTTGCTTTCTGAGCTTTCAGCATGCTGCATTTCTGTGTGTGGTGAATCACCTCTGCTGAGATTTGCATAATCCAGTAAAACACCTGCACTCCATAATAATGTAAGAAAGGATCTTGTGACCATATCAGTAGAACACAAATGGGCCCAAATTCTTGATATTCAGGAAGTAGAAAAGACATGAAAACTCCCATTTTGATTATTATTCAAACTGAAACATTGACCAGGAAATTTAAGTTTAGTAGTAGTTTCCAAGTTAATTGATTTTGAAGACCCAGCACTTTCCTTTTGCTTAGTGCAGAGAAAGACTTTAGACCAGGGTTTCCCTTTTAGAAGTTTAAAAGAGCTATGGCATTTCTTGTTTCTGTGCCATCCTGTTTTAAAATCATATTCAGCTTATTATGCAGTTCTTCCTAGTAATTTGTTTTGTCCATTTTGCTCAGCCAAGACCTGCTACTATGCCATGATTATGATGATGATTATATGCCATCAAGTTGTTACCAACTCCTAGCAACCATCTAGATTTTCTCCATCACAATCTATAACTATTCTTTCAAGTCTCCCAATGGTACGTTCATTGCCATTGTAACTGAGTCTTATCCACCTTGCTGCTGGTCATCCTCCTCTTCTCTTTCCTTCCACCTTTCCCAGCATTACAGAATTTTCCCAGAGAGGAAAATTTGCATAATGTATCTGAAGTAGGATAATTTGAGCCTCGAGTGAGAACTCTGGGTTGATTTGTTCAATGACCCATGGGTTTGTTTTCTTGGCTGTCCACAGTATTCTCAGAAGTCTTTGTCTGTCTGTCTGTCTATCACACTATATAGGTAGTCTTCATTTAGGGACTGTTCACAGTTATGACAGTGATGAAAAAGTAACTTTGCAACCTGTCCTCACATTTACAACCTTTGCAGGTCTGAAAGCTGAAGGAGGATCATAAGCAAAGTTGCAGTTTCACTTAGCAACAGCTTCGCTTAATGACTGGATTGCCGATCCCAGTTGTAGTAGCTAAATGAGGACTACCTGTACTTGAAGGTTAATGTGTTATGTTTATGCTGAGCTTTCTAATCCTTTTTTATTTGGACAATAGTGCTATTTGCTGCTTTGCTTCAGGCAGAAAAATGGGTTAAGATGACCCATTCAGGAGTCTGCTATCTCATTAAATGTAAATGTAACAAAACATCATTTCTAATATTACTTTCATTTCCTAAAAGCAAAAATAAAGTATTTGCTCTGCATGAGATATTGTGTAATGTATTGGAAAGTACAGAAGAGTTTCATAAAATTTACAATAAATGATAAACATAATAAAAGAATATCTATAAAAATAAAAAGTCCTGTTCAAAATGGTGGCCTTTTTGTTTTCTGTAGTAGGACCCAGGGGTTTTTGCTAGTGGGACATAAAATAAAATACATTAAAGTTTTACAACCACTGGAGTAGGCAATAAGTATCATTTTTGAAGCATGCAGAATATGTATGTAACAGGTATTTTAATATCATCTATCTTTTTGCTGTGTATAAAATTGCTAATTCCTATTTCCATTTGTGTATATTTTCTAGAATTGGGTGGCTTTTAATTAAGGTTTTAAAGAAACTGTAGGGAAAATTTATTTTGAGTATTGATTATTTTGAGTTATTTCCAGCCTGCCAAGCTATCTGAATGATGATGAATTGCACAGGTAGAGATCATTACTGCAGTTGATGTCTTCATAAATCAGTAGCACCAGCTAAGATGTCCTAGTTCTAATGATTAATTGCTGCTTTGTCAATGGAGGGATTGGCTAGAGAGTCATCTTAGAGCCATGACCCCTGCCCTCTTCACTCTGTAACAGTAAATTTAAGCCTAGGAATTCCATTTTATTGAGACTTCGGTTTGATGGCTTTGGAAAATACAGTGTACTTAGCTCTCAGTCTGAACCAAGTGTGTAGGGAATATGTTGTACTAGCTCAGATAGCTAGAGTCCCAAAGCAGTGTAAGTTATAATCCTTAACCATAGTCTCATTCTTACTAAACAAGAGTGACTATAAGAAGGGTTATTCATTAGAATAATGCATGCATAAATAGTTTAACTCTGGATATAAGTCTTTCTTTGTAGTTTTTCCATGAGTTTTAGCAACAGCAGCAGCAGCCCAAATCAATCCATTGTAGAATAAAGGCCTCTTCAGGTATTTTCTAACTGCTTCAACATGTTGCAAGTTGTTTCCAGTTAATGTCTTTGCAATTGAGATATATCATCTGCCCAGTATTTCTTTGGGCACTTTTGGGTTTTTAAAGTCATGTGGCATTCAGTCAAGAGCTGTTGTTGCCAGTTTGAGTAAGTTCCTTGTGCAGCATGGCCAGCTCATTGGCTATTTCAGTGAGGCTATCTGGTTCATCTTGTCATATGTTCCTGTCTGTTGGCTGATCCATTTATTTCTTTTCGTGTCACGCTGTTATGTTAAACATTTACCATTCTATGCTTTTCTTTGTAACTTTCCAACTTTGGTACTATTTTTGCATTTATGAGTAAAATATAATATTGTGTACTCAGTGCAGTTGTATTACAGATTATGTGCATGGGAAGTAGCATGACCTATTTTATTTCAGTGGCAGTAGTAGTTGACATCAGTAGATATCATGGGCATAGATTAAACATTTTAAACAATAGTAATTAGAGCATAGTGACTCCTATATTAATACCTTATGGAGTAGCAACATATGAATAGTAAATTTACAATGTTATTAATATATTCTTTTCAGGAAAAAATGATTCAAGTTATATTCAAGGAGAGGTCCAGTGTTCTAGATGTGCTTTTTTTAAAGGATAGTATAGAATGAAATCTCCTGCATACCCACATACCAAGCATTCTATAAGCAATAAAATGTAATTTAAAAAATCCTGAATGCTTCCATTTTATTATTCCAGAATAACAGTGTAAGTTATTATATGAAAAGTGGTATTATACTTAAATATTGCCAACTGTTTGATCTCCGTGTATTTTTGTTTGTTTGTTTTCTTTGGAACCATCAATATGCCTCCATGGACCCCAAATTAAATGGTAAGTATTGCTCTTACTATATAGAGAGAGCAAGAATTGTGATTTGGATTAATAAATGCATTTAAAAAGTTGAATACATATTGCTAGAAGATTAAGTTACATGAATGCTTCCTTGTTTTATTTTTTCCCTTTTGAAATAAACAAAAATGTTCATTTGCAAATCAGTACCAAAATGGGAAATATTTTAATGCATTTTTTTCTTTTTGGGATACATATACTTTATCTCTGGCACAATGATGATTTTCTTTTGCCGTTTACCCATCTGAATGTGTGATGTGTATTTTCCAATTCTGAGGTGCCAGTAAAGCTTTAATTAGGCCAAATAAAGTATTTGCTAGAACATGTAAGTTAAATATTGGTCCTTGTTTATATTAAGATGTGTTTCAAAAGTGACTTATTTTCCACAAATAGTCATGAAATGCTGTTCAGAATTTGAGAATTTTTTATTTAAAAAATGTTTTATTTTAAAAACTGCTTATAAAATGTCAGTTTGAAATGTTTGCAAATGTCATATGAATACAAGACCTTTTTTTTGTAAAAAATGCAAATCTGATTAAAAGTTAAATTGAATAAACTGTTCAAATAACTAGAGTTATTGTATGTTGAATGCTAAATGATGGTGCCCAAAATGATTGAAATTCTGTATTCAAAGTATTTTATTACAAAACTGAACTTAAATTTAATTGAAGTTTAATTAATTTTAATTTAAGTTTAAATTTAATGGAAGCACTCATAATTTGAAATGCCATTCTTCACTGAAAATTCTAGAGATTTGCTAACATGAAAATATTTTCTATAATTTGAAAACAAAGATGACAACTTTGAATGAACCACTTATATTTAGTATATCACCTTAATATAACAATGCAATTTGCTGCTATTTAACTTGATATATCTAATCTTCCTATTTCTTTGCAGGTTCTGACAAGACAAATGGCAGAAAGATTGTTTTCCAGTATAAAATAATTTTAAACAAATACTTTAGCTTCATGCTGATGCAGTTTTAAAATAAAAACATAAAAAAGACAATAAAAACTTTCAGAATTTTTCTAAGAAGATATTTTTCACTATATATTTTTTCTCATACTTCCTGGAAAGAGTAACTTTCTTCAACCAGCTTGTTTTAAAACGTTCAGAATTTTTCTTGTTTCTGCATGAAAATTGGGGGAGGAAAGCAGACTTGGCATGATAGTGAACATGGTTATAGAGGGACTATTTTCCTACATCTTTGTAAAATTCAGTCTCACAACCATGCTTGTCTTATGTATATGTATGCCTTTCTTTGTTTTTAATGTTATTGAAAGCCTTGGTGAGCACTGAATCGAGTTTAGGTCTCTGTTGATGAACTGTCATATATTTATACAATGTGGGAGATTGAATATCAGCCTGTATATGTTTGAATTCCGTAACGTTTTCATTTCTTCTTTATATCATAAAATGTGATACTGATTTTTTTTTTGGCAGGGTAAAATCCTATATGAGGAATTTGAATGCAGTTTTCAGTAACAGAAAACGGAAGCTTGATGGGACAACTAAAATAAATGTACTTATTTTCCTGTGCTTTTATGAGATAAAATAAGAAATATCCATTCAGGTATAAGAAAAAGGCTACTACAACAAGAATAGTATGTTAGGTATAGCTGAAATGCAAGACTTAAAAAAAGGCTAAATTTGAAATACAACCAGTTATTACATCATCAGTGTATTCTGTGATACAACTTGGAAAGGCAAAGATAGGCTAGAAGGATGAATTAGTTTTCCTGACAATTGGATCCAGTATTGTGTATTGTTAAATCTCACTGCTGAGAACATGTGTTACAGGCCCATATGTAGCAATGAACTGTTTCAGTTGTTGATGGCACTCCGTCAAGTAAATATCCCTTTGATTCAGGGAGTTCTCCGAATTGAGTTCAAATGGAAAAAGTGCATTAGGCGCCACACAAAATACAGAAGCACCTGTGTAAAGGAAATTAATTAATTTTTAAATTAATTAAAATTTAAAATCACAAGTATAAGAATTGTGTTTTTGTTTTGGAGCATAAAGTTGCAAAAATTAATTATAAAATTGTTAGTTGAAAAGTTGTTATAGTTAAACATTCTTTCATATATGAAATATAATTACAAAAATATAATTATCCCTTTAGAAAAAAGTCTTCCCATTTTTAAATGAGTTTTGGTTTTTAAATTATTTTAAAGTTAATTATTCTTTAAAATGATCTACATTTTCCACCCTAATATCAATCTCCCTACATAATAGATCAGTTCAGACGTCTAATAAGGCCCAAGCTATTTGACCTGCAACCTGCTGCTTAGAAGAAGAGAGGATACCAGGAAAAATTTTAAAAGGTCAGGGAGAGAATTAGTGTTGACATGCCCTTTTGGTTTTAAATTATTCCTCAGGTAATGTTTTTCATCAGAAAAAAAACGGTTCCAAATCATGCTTTAAAATAAAAGCTGTAATATGGATTACATAGTATCTGGAAATGGAAATTTAATATTATAGCCACTGACTGTTATGAAAATGTTTCTCTGAAGGTTACCTTAATGCTTGATGATTCAAGTTTTTGCATTTGCTCAGTATTCTATATCCTATTTATTATTTTGGAAAGTGTGAATATGTATATAACTATACTTAAGAATAACATGAACATTTATTTACTTTCTACCTCATAAATAGGAGGCAATAGCTATTCAGATGCTGAAGTATTACAATTTCCAGAAAGTTGAACCAGTTGGGTGTTATAGTTCAGCAATAGCAGGATGGTCTTAATTTCAAAAAAGAAAAAAAAACATGATAGCAAAGACTATAAAAAGCTATTTTGAATTGATTCTGAAAATTGAAATGTGTTACCAGAAGGCAAATGATGAAGTATCTCCTACCATTACTCTTCAATAACATTGTTTCAGCCTACAGCTAAGAGAAAAGAGAACAGAAATCTAAGGAATGGAAATGCCTGCTATTTGACATCTTTGGGATTGTGTTTTCAGCTATGCGTATGAAGTCTCCTGTTAAGGATCTTGTGTGATCTTACTTGGATTTATGAGCAGTTGCTCAACTTAATTTTTTTTACCATATTTTAAAGTAAGAGATGATTCAAATAATAACACTGCAATTAAAACATCTTCTTCAAGTACTGTTGTCCTTAGACTCAGCTTAGCATGTGCTTTAGACAGCGATATCCTACAAACAAAAATACAAATTTTAAATCCATTGTACATTTCAGATGACTAATTTTCTCATTGAAAATCTTGCTTTTAAGGTTCTCTTAAATCTGTACATAGTATAAATGCATAGCTACTATTTCATTGACAAAATATATATAAGAGAAATAGAATATTGTTTTAAGTATTATCAGTTGCTAAACAAATAAACAGTATACAGTGGTACCTCGGGTCACGAACTTAATTTGTTCCGCGACTCTGGTCGCAACCCGAATT